AGCAATGTCACAAAGTCTCCTGCAGGCAAAACCTAAAAGAAAAGTGCTGGGCATAGCAATATGCTACAATGTTCCTGTAAGCAGGGACCAGGCAGAAGAAGAGAGTCACATCACCTAGATGCTGGGCCTAGTGATATGTCAACCATCTTTTCTGTAATAAAGATCCAGGCAGGAGAAACACATCACCTGGTTGCTGGCCACAGAAATGTGCCACAATTTTCACTGTAGACAGGGTGCAGGCAGAAGAGGAGAGTCACATCTCCTAGGTAATAACTGTGACACACCTGTGCAGAGGTATATCACAATGCCCCCTGGAGGAAGGAGCCAGGTAGGGGACTCCCCATCCCTTAGGTGTTGAGCCCAGTGTCACATCTGAGTATGTCACAATACCCAAATATGTGGGGCCTGAGAAAAAAGAGGAGAGTCACATCACCAAGATGCTAGGCCAATGGTATGTCACAATTTCCCCGTGAGCAGAGACCAGGCAGGAGAAGAGTAACATCACCATGGTTATGGGCATTCAGTTATGTCACAAAGCCCCCTGTAGTCAGGGCCCAGGAAAATAATGTTCCATCACCTGGGTGTTGAGCCCAGCAATATGTAATGATGTCTAATGTGAAACATTGTGCTGCAATATGGCACAACATGCAGGACACAGGTTGGAGAGTCACATAACATAGGTACAGGATCCAGCAATATTTGACAATACCCAAAATTTGTGGTGTCCAAAAACAAGAGTCACATCACCGAGATGCTGGGTCCAGTGATACATCACAATCTTCACTTTGGGCTGAACCAAGACAGAAGCATCAAAGCACTCCGGTGCATAACAAAGACATATATCACAATCACACCTGCAGGAAGGTCCAGTAATTAAAAATCCTGCACATGTCCCAGTTCTAGACATGGGAGTCACCACATTCTGTATGTTGGGTCTAAGTATGCTAGTGACAATCTCACCAACTGAATCTGTGCATGAGAGCTGAGAGCCTTCATCCCGTCCAAGAACTGTTTGGCCCTAAGCCCAGGTAGGAGAGTCAACATGTCCCCCAGCCAATTAGGGACATGTTGACTCTCCTACCTGGGCTTAGACAGGTAGAATTCTCACCTGCCTATGAACTGGATTTAGAAATAAATCACTATTTCAACTCTAGCCAGATGTTCACATATGACAGTCACAATTTTAACTGTAGACTGTGTATGTGTGTGAGATTCAGGGCCTCACCAGTGGGCCCTGTCCACGTGTGAGGGTGACAATTCTAACAGTTGGCCGGGAGTGTATATGAGAAACACAATCTCACCTGTACGCTGAACCCTGTAATGACACTCTCTGCACCACAAGAGATTTATATAGTATGCAAGAACGTGGTAATTCGTTATGACCTTTGTACAAGGAGACCCAGAATCATATTCATGACTCTAGGCCTAGCTGTAAGAGACAGCATCTTGGTTGGGCTGGGTGCAGTGGCTCATGCCTGTAATCCCAGCACTTTGGGAAGCCGAGGTGGGCAGATCACCTGAGGTCGGGAGTTTGAGACCAGTGTGACCAACATGGAGAAACCCCATCTCTACTAAAAATACAAAATTAGCTGGGTATGGTGGCACATGCCTGTAATCTCAGCTACTTGGGAGGCTGAGGCAAGAGAATCGCTTAGACCTGGGAGGCAGAGGTTGCAGTGGGCGGAGATCATGCCATTGCACTCTAGCCTGGGCAACAAGAACGAAACTGTCTCAAAAAAAAAAAAAAAAAAAAAAAGAGAGAGAAAAAGAACATCTCTCCTATTAGATAGTGTGAGGTATGAGAGTAATCATTGCATCTGTGATCTAGGTCAAGATATATTTTACAGGCCAGGCGCAGTCGCTCACACCTGTAACCCCAGCATTTTGGGAGGTCGAGGCAGGTGCATCACCTGAGCTCAAGAGTTTGAGACCAGCCTCACCAACATTGGGAAACCCTGTCTCTACTAGAAATACAAAAATTAGCCAGGTGTGGTGGCTCATGCCTGTATTCCTAGCTACTGAGGAGGCTGAGCAGAAGAATTGCTTGAACCCGCGAGGTGGAGGTTTCAGTGAGCCAAGATCATGCCCTTGCACTCCAGCCTGGGGGACAGAATGAAACTGTCTCAAAAAAAAAAATGTATTTTACAATCCTGCCTGTGAATAGGGAGAGAGGAGAGTCACATCATCTGGGTTTTTAGCCAGGAATATGACACAATCCTTTTTTTTTTTTTTTTTGAGATGGAGTTTCACTCTTGTTGCCCAGGCTGGAGTGCAATGGCACAGTCTCAGCCGACTGCAACCTCCGCCTCCTAGGTTCAAGTACATGATTCTTGTGCCTCAGCCTCCCAAGTAGCTGGGACTACAGGAACATGCCACCATGCCCAGCTAATTTTTACAATTTTTTTTTTTTCTCCCCGAGACAGAGTCTTGCTCTGCTGCCCAGGCTGGAGTGCAGTGGCATGATCTTGGCTCACTGCAACCTCCCCCTCCTGGGTTCAAGCAATTCTCCTGCCTCAGGCTCCCGAGTAGCTGAGATGACAGGCGGCTGCCACCACACCCGGCTAATGTTTGTATTTTTAGTAGAGACGGGGTTTCACCACGTCGGCCAGCTGGTCTCAAACTCCTCAGGCGATCCACCCACCTCGGTCTCCCAAAGTGCTGGGTATTACTGGCATGAGCCACCAGGCCTGGCTTGACACAACCTTTTCTGAGGGCAGAGACCAGTCAGGAGTGTGACATCACCTGAATACTCAGCCAGGAATAAGTTACAACCTTCTCCTGAAAGCAGCACACAGGCAGCAGAGTCACATCACCTGGGTGCTGAGCCCAGCAATGGATAACAATGCCCTCTGTGGTCCAGGCCCAGGCAGGAGACACATATCACCTGGTACCTGGGCCAGCCAGTTTTTTCTGTGGGGCGAGTACAGGTAAAAATGGAGAGTCACATCTCCCAGGTGACTGATGCAGCGGTCTGTCACAAGGCCCTCTGTAGAAAGGGCCCAGGTGGCAGTCTCCCATTTTATAGGTGTTGGACCTAGTAATATGTCTTAACATGAAAATATTCAGGCCTAAGCAAAAAACGAGAGTCACATAACCTGAGTGCAGGGCTTAGGAATATGTCACAATGCACCCTGTGGGCAGCTCCAAGGCTGGAAAAAAGAGTCACATCTTGGAGGTCCAGAGTCAAACCATATGTCACAATCTCATTTGTGGGCTTGGCCAAGGCAGGAGAGTCTGATCACTAAGGTGCCCTGCAGATGCATACAATCACACCTGCAGGAAAGTCCAGGGATTAGATTAGAAATTCCAAACATGTCCAGGTTCTAAAGGTATGAAAGTCAACACCTCCTGTATGTTGGGTCTAAGTACATGAGTCACAATCTCAATGATCGACAGAATGTGTGCAAAAGAGCCACAGTTTCTTCTGCAGACTGTATCTTCTTAGTGCGGTCACAGACTTACACGTGTGGTGACTCTTGGTCTAGAAGTCACTAACCCACCTGCGGACCAGATCCACACGAGAGGCAATTATCCAACTTTTGACAGCCTCTGTGAAATTCAGAACTTCAATAGTGGGATGTGTTTACATGGGAGAATGACAATCCTTACTGTTGCCTGGGTATGCATTGGACAGACACTCTCTGTGTCACCTGAGGACTTTATACAATACACAAGATTGGTAATCCTCTGTGACCTTTGCACAAGAAGGAGCTCCAGAATCTTTCCTGTGGTTCTAAGCCCAGATGTGAAAGTCAACGTCTCTCTAATTGACTGAGTCCAGATAGGAGAGTCTTCACCTTCCTATGAGCTGGATTTAGAAATCAGTCACCATCCCAACTGTAGCCAGATGTTCACATATAACAGCCACGATTCCAACTGTGGACTGTGTTCACATGTGATTCAGGACCTCACTAGTGGACTCTGTCAATGGGTCAGGGTGATAACTGTAAAGGTTGGTGTGGTGTGCATAGGACAAATACAATCTCACTTGTGTGCTGCAACCTGTTATGACATTCTCTGTAACACACTAGGGCTTTATATATGTGAGAGAGTACTAATTCTTTATGACTTTTGTACAGAAAGACTTTCTAATTTTCCTCAGCCTAGCTGAGGGCAACATTCTCTCTCCCATTGGCTTCTGCAAGGTATGACAGTTATCATTACATCTGCATGCTTGGCCAGATATATGTCACAATCCTACCTGTATGTAAAGAGCAAATGCAAGAGTGACATCAATTGCGTGTTGGGCCAGGGCTATGTCACAATCCTCCCTGAGGGCAGGCATCAAGCAGGAGAATCACATCACTGGGGGCTTCACCAGGGATGTTACAATCCCCTCCTGAAAGCAGGGCACAGGTAGAAGAGAGAGATCCCCCGGGTGCTGGGCCCAGACATGACAGACACCACAACGACTGGTTGCTGGGCCCAACAATATGTCAGAATCTTCCCTGTGGGCAGAATGCAGGCAAAAATACAGGGTTTTATCTCCTGCATGATGGATGCAGAAATACATCACAAAGCTGGGCACGGTGGCTCACAACTGTAATCCCAGCATTTTGGGAGGCCGAGGCAGGTGGACCACCTGATTTCAGGAGTTCGAGACCAGGCTGACCAACATAGAGAAACTCTGTCTCTACTAAAAATAGAAAATTAGCCGGGCATGGTGGCAGATGCCTGTAATCCCAGCTATTTGGGAGGTTGAGGCAGGAGAACCGCTTGAACCTGGGAGGCAGAGGTTGCGGTGAGCCGAGGTCGTGCCACCGCATGCCAGTCTGGGCAACAAGAACAAAACTCCATCTCAAAAAAACAAAAAACAAACGAAAAAACATCACAAGGTCTCCTGTGGGAGGGACTCAGGCAGAAGCCTTCCGGCCCCTAGGTGTTTGTCCCAGTTGTATGTCACAATATCCAAAATATAGCAGGTCTCAGGCAAATGAGGGGAGTCACATCACCTAGGTGCTGGGTCCGGTGATCTGTCACAATCTTTTCTTTTGGCAGGCCTTAAGCAGAAGAGAAGAGTCACATTACCTAGATAATGAATAAAGAGATGTTATAATATTTCCGTGGGAGCATCCATGCAGGGCAGTCACATCACCTTGGTGTTGGACTCAGAGACATGTTGCAACATGCAATGTATGCAGGTCCCAAGCAGAAGAGGAGAGTCATATCACCTAGGTTCTTGGTCCAGAAATATTTCACAATATTTCTGGAGGGGAGGGCCTAGGCAAAAAAGTCACATTACCTAAGTGAGTGGCCTAGAGATATGTCACAATGCCTCCTGCGGGTAGGGTCCATAAACAAGAAGAGAGTCGCATAACCTAGGTGCTGGGCTCAGCTTTATGTTCCAATCATCCCAGTGGGAAGGGCCCAAACATGAAAGAAGAGTCACATCACATAGGAGCTACGTTAAGTGATATATCACAATTGCCGCTGTGGACAAACCCCAGAAGAGGAGGCACATCATCTAGGTTATGGGTCCAAACATATATCACAGTGACTTGTGTGTGCAAGGACCAAGCAGAATAATTACATCACTGCTTGGTCCAGCGATAAATCACTCTATTCTGTGGGCATGGCCCAGGCAGTAGAGGAATGTCAAATCATGTAGGTAAAAGAGGACATTTATCTGTGCTTTTCCCATAGGAGAGATTGCAGTGGGTCAATAGGTAGGTCACAGTGCTTCCTGTGGTCAGGGTTCAGGCAGAGAACTCACATCATCTTGGTGCTGGGCACAGCAGTATGTCTCAATGCCTTCCAAGAGCACAGCCAAAGCAAGTAAGTAACACCACCTTAGTGTTAGGCCCAGCAATATGTCATAATCTCCTTTGTCAGCAGAACCTAGAAAAAAGAAAAGTCACATCAGCTAGGTGCTCTACCCAACAATATGTCCCAATATCCCCTGTGAGTGGAGAACAGGCAGGAATAAAAAGTCACATTTCCTGGGTGATTGGTGAAGACATATATTACAATCCCCTCTGTAGACAGGTCCAGGATGAAGCGTTACATCATCTGGGTGTTGGACTCAGCAATGTTACAATGGCCTATGTGTTTAGGGCACAAGCAAAAGAGTCACATAACATATGCCCAGCAATATGTCACAATACACCTGTGGGCAGCACCAAGGCAGAGGAGGAGACTCATATCACCTGGGTGCAATGCCCAGTGATGTCACAATGACCCCTATGGGCTGTATCAAGGCAGAATAGAATCACATTACCAAGGGTCTAGGTCCAGTGATATGTCACTATGAGCTGGGCCCAGGAAAGAGACAAATAACTCAGATGCTGGGCCAAGGTGTATGTCACAATTACACTTGTCGAAAGGTCTTGTGATGACATTAACAATTACACACTTGTCCTCAGCCAAGGGATGAGAATCAACACCTCCTGCATGTTGGGTCTAAGTACAGGGGTCACAGTCTCAATGGTGGACTGGATTTGTGCAAGAACCTCAATTTCCTTTGCAAATTATGTGCCTTAGGCTGGGCATGGTGGCTTACACCTGTAATCCCAGCATTTTGGGAGGCCAAGGTGGGCGGATCACCAGAGGTCACGAGTTCAAGACCAGCCTGACCAACATGGTGAAACCCCAGCTCTACTAAAAATACAAAAAAATTAGCCAGTGGGGTGGTGGGCACCTATAATCCCAACTACTAGGGAGAATCAGGCAGGAGAATCGCTTGAACCCAGGAGGCAGAGGTTGCAGTGAGTCGAGATCAGGCCACTGCACTCCAGCCTGGGTTACAAGAGTGAAACTTCATCTCTAAATAAATAAATAAAGCTCCATAGTGAAGTTACAGTCACAAAGGTGTGCTGAATTTTGATTAAAGAGTCACTAATCCAACTATGGACAAAATCCACAAATGAGAGTCAATTTTCCAACATTCAACTGCCTCCAAAAGTGAGGTTCAGAACCTCAAAAGTAGTGTGTGTTTATTTAAGTAAATGACAATCTTTGGTATTGACTGGGTGTGAATATGTTTCACAATCTCACCTGTGTGCTTGGCCCTGTCAGGGCACTCTCTTGTGGACTGTACATGGTGTGCATGAGAGTTGAAACCTGCTCTGAGAACTCTGCGCTGCTTTGGACCCATGATCTAACATGGTCCTAAGTCTAGGTATGACAGTCAACATCTCTCCAATTGGCTGGCTCCAGGGAGAAGAGTCCTCAGCCACCTATGAGCTGGGTTTAGAAATGAGTCACCATCTCAACTGTGGCCACATATGATATGTGAACACACATGTTCACATATGATAGTCACAATTTTAACTGTGGACTGCATCTGTGCATGAGAATTATGACCTCATCAGTGGGCTTTTACCATGTGTGAGGATGACAATTCTAAAAATTGGCAGGGAGTGCTTCCATGAAACATGATCTAACCTGTTTGCTGGGTCCTATGATGACATGCTCTGTACACCGTACCATCTGAGTGCTTTATACAATATACGAGAGAGTGGTGATTCTCTATAACCTTCATGCAGAGAGGAGACCCGGGATTTTACTCCTTTTTCTAAGCCTAGCTGTGAGAGACAGTATCTCTTTCTATTGGCTGGTATGAAGTATTAGAGTCATCATCAAACCTGTGAGCTGGGATGAGATACATGTTACCAACCAACTTGCTTGCAGAAAGCACCCAGGAGAGTCACATCACCTGGATGCTGGGCCAATGATATGTAAATTTTTTCCCTGAGGGCTGTGATAAGGCAGGAGAGTCATGTCATCTGGGTTTTCACCCAGTGATGTGTTACCACTTTCCCCTGAAAGTTATACACATGCAGGAGACACACATCACCTGGTGGCTGGGGACTGAAGTATGTCACAATCATTCCTGCGGGCAGAGTGCAGGCAGAAAAGGCATCACATCTTTTATGTAATGGATGCAGATATATGTCACAAGAACCCCTGTGGACAGGGCTGAGGCAGGAGCCTCTCATTTTTTAGGTGTTTGACCCAGTGAAATGTCACAATTCCCAAAATATGTGGTTGCTAGATAGAAGAGTCACATCACCTAAGTTCTGGTTTCAGTGATATGTCACAATCTTTCCTTTTGACAGGGTTCAGGGGGGAGAGGAGTCATATCACTCAGGTGATGAACAAAAATAAATGTCCCAATAACCCATGCTCATGATACATGTGAGAGAGCTGAATCACCTGTGTGTTGAACCCAGTGACATGTCAAAATATACAATTCATGCAGGGCCCAGGCAGGAGAAGATAGTATCTTCACCCAAGTATCAGGCCCAGTGATACATCACAATACCTTCTGTGACAGAGTCCAAGCAGTGGGGAAGAGTCACATTACCTAGATGCTGAATCAAAAAATGTGTCACAAAAATCACTGAGCAGAGAGCCCAGGCAGGAGAGTCAAATTACCTAAATGAGGGGCTCAGAGATATGTTGCAATGACCTCTGTGGGTAGGACTCAGGAGAAACAGGAGAGTCACATTATCTAGGTGCTGAGTAAAGCTGTATGACACAATCACCCAATTTGATAGACCCAGACAAAAGAAGAGAATCACATCACGTAAGTGCTGGGCCAAGTGATGTGTCACAATCCTCATTATGGACAGTTCCCAGGAAGAAAAGGAGAGTCACATCACCTAGGTGATTGGTCTAAAGATGTCACAATAAGCCGTGTGGGCTGGGATCATGAAGAAGAATCGAATCACTTGTGTGTTGAGCCTAGCGATAAGTCACTCTCTTTTCTGTGGGCATAGACCAGGCAGGGGAGGAGAGTCATAATATCTAAGTGCTGGAGCCAGAGATAGGTCACAACCTCTACTATTAGCAAAGCCCAGGTAAGAAAAGAGTCACCGGGCAGTGGCTCATGCCTGTAATTCCAGCACTTTGGGAGGCCAAAGCGGGCAGATCACCTAAGGTCAGGAGTTCGAGACCAGCCTGACCAACATGGAAGAACCCCTCTCTACTAAAAATATAAAAAATTAGCTGGGTGTGGTGGTGGGCACCTGTAATCCCAGCTACTTGGGAAGCTGAAGCAGGAGAATTGCTTGAACCCGGGAGGTGGAGGTTGCAGTGAGCCAAGATTGTGCCACTGCACTCCAGCCCAGGCAACGGCGCAAGACTCTGTCTCAAAAAAGAAAAAAAAAAAGAAAAAAGCTCTACTATGTACTAAATATTTGACAAAATATTTTTTTCTTTTCTGTTTTTTTTTTTTGAGACAGAGTTTCACTCTTGTTGCCCAGGCTGGCAGGCTGGAATGCAATGGTATGATCTCGGCTCACTGCAACCTCTGCCTCTAGGGTTCAAGCGATTCTCCTGCCTCAGCCTCCCCAGTAGCTGAAACTACAGGCGCCCGCCGCCACACCCAGCTAATTTTTGTATTTTTAGTAGAGATGGGGTTTCACGACGTTGGCCAGACTGGTCTTGAACTCCTGACCTTGTGACCCACCCGCCTCAGCCTCCCAAAGTGCTGGGATTACAGGCGTGAGCCACTGTGTCTGGCCCAGGGACGCATATTAAACAGGAACGAATATTATTACTTCTCACAAATTATTTTGTTGTATTGTTCATTAATATATAAAAAATTGCTAGGAAAAAATTTAGTATATAGTCAATATAGTCCAAGAAAGATTGTTGCCAGGCATGGTGGCTCATGCTTGTAATCTCAGCAATTTGGGACTCCAGAGGAGGAGGATCACTTAAATTGAGGAGTTCAGGACCAGCCTCACCAACATGGTGAAATGTCTCTATCAAAAATACAAAATTAGCCAGACTTTGTGGCGCGTACCTGCAATCCCAGCTACTCAAAAGGCTGAGACAAGAGATCGCTAAAACCTGGGAGACAGAGGTTGCAGTGAGCCCAGATCGCACCACTGTACCCCATCCTGGGTGACAGATGACTCAGTCTCAAAAAAAAAAAAAAAAAAAAAAAGATTTTTGCCATTCTTGCTATAATGCTATAAACCTGCAAATCCTATAAAACTCTCAATTTCATATTCTCCACGAATTATTACAGGCACACACCTGTAATCCCAGCTACTCAAAAAGCTGAGACAGAAGTATTGCCACCGCACTCCAGCGTGAGGAATAGGCGAGACTTTTTCTAAAAAAATAAATAAATAACAAAAAAAAATGCAGAAACAAAAAACCAACCCTGGATCTCTTGAATGAGAATCTGCATTTCAAGATCTCCAGTTTATTGTTGCACATGACACAATTTGCAAAGTATGCTTCTAAATCACTGACTTTGCTGAGAATTATACACAGCTGATTCTGGATGATTTAAAATAGCACTCAGGCTGGCGTGGTGGCTCACGCCTGTAATCCCAGCACTTTGGGAGGCCGTGGTGGGCAGATCACGAGGTCAAGAGATCAATACCATCCTGGCCAACATGGTGAAACCCTGTCTCTACTAAAAATACAAAAATTAGCTAGGTGTGCTGGCCTGCGCCTGTAGTCCCAGCTACTAGGGAGGCTGAGGCAGAAGAATGGCTTGAACCCAGGAGGCAGATGTTGCAGTGAGCCAAGATCACACCACTGCATTCCACCTGGCAACAAAACTAGACTTTGTCTCAAACAAACAAACAAAAAAATACATAAATACAATAAATAAAAAAATATAAAAAATTAGCTGGGCGTGGTGGTACACACGTAATCCCAGATACTCAGGAGGCTGAGGTGAGAGAATTGCCTGAACCTGGGAGGCGGAGGCTGCAGTGAGCTGAGACTGTGCCACTGCACTCCAGCCTAGGCAACAGGGCAAGACCTCGCCTCAAAAAACCAAACAAAAAAAACACCAGGCTGACTTCTGTGTAAAATATTCCCTGACCTAGCATCTACTTTCACCATGTTCTATCCCTCCCCTTCCCAGTTTTTTTCTGACCTTGTTTCTTCTTCTTTATGAAAGAAAGTCCTTTTCTCCAACATCTTATAGTTGGTGCTTTCCCCTTGTTGCAATACTACTTTAAAATTAAGTAAATTCATTAGCTGGGCATGATGGCGGGTATCTGTAATCCCAGCTACTTGGGAGGTTGAGGCAGGAGAATTGCTTGAACCCAGGAGGCAGAGGTTGCAATGAGCCGAGATCATGACATTGGACTCCAGCCTGGGGAACTCAGCGAAATGCCATTTCAAAAAAAAAAAAAAAAAAAATTAAGCAACTTCTTGCCAAGCACAGTGGCTCACACCTGCAATTTTAGCACTTTGGGAGGCTGAGATGGGTGGATTACCTGAGGTCCAGAGTTTGAGAACAGCCTGGCCAACACGGTGAAACTCCATCTCTACTAAAAATACCAAAATTAGCCGGGCATCGGGGTGCCCGTTTGTAGTCCCAGCTACTAGGGAGGGGAGACTGTGGCGGGAAGATCGCTTGAATATGGGAGACAGAGGTTGCAGTGAGTCGAGATTGCACCACTGTACTACATCCTGGGTGAGAGAATGAGACTCAAAAAAATTAAGAGACTTCTTACCTAAATCTAAATTTGTCATATTAAGTCTAGAAACAACCTCAGAACAACAACTCTATTCCCAGAAAGAGCTTCCCAACCCCACTTCTGTGCCAATCCCAACTGTATCTGCCTGTGGATTTCAAGGTTTTCAGGGCTCCGCGGCTTCTCTAAGTATAAATGCTCTGTCTACGGCTATTGTGAGCAGGCTGGGACATCAGTAGAGGAAGCTTTCGGGCAGAACCGGCCACTCCTTCAATGATCTCCCTTTACAGGCAAAACTATACTTAGCTTGGAGTCACTGAATTCAGGCTTCTATTTACCAGTCAGGGTTACTCACTTAGTTTTAAATAAGAAAATGAACAATGTATGGCCAGGCGCAGTGGCTCAACACCTGTAATCCCACCACATTGGGAGGCCAAGGCAGGAGGATCACTTGAGGTCAGGAGTTCTAGACCATCCTGGCCAATATGGTAAAACCCTCTCTCTACTAGAAATACAAAAAGTAGCCTGGCATGGTGGCATGCTATCCATAAGGCTGAGGCACGAGAATCCCTTGAACCCGGGAGGCACAGGTTGCCATGAGCCAAGATCACATCACTGCACTCCAGCCTGGGCGACAGAGCAAGACTCAGTCTCAAAAAAAAAAAAGTCAAAAAACAAAAATGACCAACGTTTCAAGAAGAGTGAAATCACTCCTACACATTGTTTATGGAATATTTTAAGAAAATTTTAAGACTTAAATTTTCTACTACAATATAAAAAGCTTAAGTAAGATTGGGCACAGTGGCTCACACCTGTAATCCCTGCACTTTGGGAGGCCAAAGTGGATGGATCACCCGAGGTCAGGAGTTCGAGACCAGCCTGGCCAACATGATGAAACCCCATCTCTACTAAAAATATAAAAATTAGCCAGGCATGGTGGCAGGTGCTTGCAATCCCGGCTACTCAGGAGGCTAAGGTAGGAGAATCACTTGAACCTGGGATGCAGAGGTGCAGTGAGCCGAGATCGGGATACTGCACTCCAGCCTGGGCAACAAGAGTGAAACTCCATCTCCACCAGGCGCGGTGGCTAACACCTGTATAATCCCAGCACTTTGGGAGGCAGAGGCGGGCAGATCATGAGGTCAGGAGATCGAGACCATCCTGGCTAGCATAGTGAAACCCTGTCTCCACTAAAAATACAAAAAAAATTAGCCGCGTGTGATGGTGGGCACCTGTAGTCCCAGCTACTTGAAAGGCTAAGGCAGGAGAATGGCGTGAACCTGGAGGCGGAGCTTGCAGTGAGCTGAGGTCACACCACTGCACTCCAGCCTGGGAGACAGAGACCTGTCTCTCAAAAAAAAAAAAAGGTTGAGAAGAAACTTTTTAACTGTTTACACACTTGTTCATTTTTATGTCATTGGGGGAGGACCCCTCAATATATTTCAGAGTCAATGGGTAACATTTTTTTTTTAATAATTTTTTTTGAGACTGAGTCTTGCTCTGTCACCCAGGCTGGAGTGCAGTGGCGTGATCTTGGCTCACTGCAACCTCCGCCTCCTGGGTTCAAGCAATTCTCTCGCCTCAGCCTCCTGAGTATCTGGGATTACAGGCACATGCCTATAATCCCAGATACAGGATTACAACAGGTGCCGGCCACCATGCCTGGCTAATTTTTTGTATTTTTAGTAGAGACAGGGTTTCACCGTGTTGGCCAGGCTGCAAATAATTTTTTACTCTGGGGCTGGGTGCAATGGCTCACGCCTGTAATCCCAGCTACTCTTGAACCTGGGAGGCAGAGGTTGCAGTGAGCTGAGACCGCACCACTGCACTCTAGCCTGGGTGACAGAGTGAGATTGTCTCAAAAAAAAAAAAAAAAGAGTATACTCTGCACCAGCAGCATTAACACAAAAAAAGGTTGTATTAAACCCTGACACCCACTCAAATGTCACCTCCTCTATAAAGCCCTCTTTGATTTTTCCCTCTATGTCAGTGGCACAATTGATCACTATTACCATTCAGCTCCTCAATACAAGTCTTTTTATTTACAAGTATTATTCTCCAGAATAAATTAATCATTTACACCTATCCATGCCAATGAACTATAAACTCCTGTAGGGCAGGTATGTCGAACCCTGTTCATCTGTGTAATCCAAATGTCTTATACATAATAGATGTCATATACAAACAAAATCAAAATGCTGTCAGGGAATTATTGGAAAAGCTACTAAATTCTTTTAAGTTCAAGTGGTATTTAGTTTTCTATTCCTGTGTTAGTTTGCTAAGAATCATGGCTTACGGCTCCATCCACGTTCCTGCAAAGGATACGATCTCATTTTTTTTTATGGGTGCACAGTGGCATGGAGTATATGTACAACATTTTCTTTATCCAGTCTATCACTGATAGGCATTTAGGTTGATTCCATGTCTCTGCTATTGTGAATTGTGCTGCAATGCACATACGCATGCGTGTGTCTTTATAACAGAATGATTCACATTGCTTTGGGTAAATATCCAATAATGAATTGCTGGGTCAAATGGTATTTCTGTCTTTAGGTCTTCAAGGAGTTGCCACACTGTCTTCCATAATGGTTGAACTAATTTACACTCCCACCAACAGTGCATAAGAGTTCCTTTATGAAAAAATAATTTTAATTTTCTAAGTGGTTAGCTTTTTAGACAAATGGTATACAAGGAAATTTTCCACAGGCCTAGGCCATCCAGCTGCTCTTCTCAGAGGCTACACTCTTACTCTTCAGGCTGTCCTCTAAGAGATGATCCAGGGGATGATATTCATTAGACACTCCAAGAGATATGGCCACTGTGGGTATCTTGGGTTATCCCAGACCATTCTGAAACTCATGACCAAGAAAAGACTAGAGGGCTGCTGTAAAGGGCCCTGTAATTTCTCCAAAGCAAACCTTCAACCCAAATATGTACTAATAAGGTGTGTGTGCCTAAGGAAGATAAAAGGCGGAGAGGCGCAGATATTTTTTTTTTTAACAGTGGAGTTCCAGAGAACTCCCACCTGGGCAACAAGAGTGCAACTCCATCTCAAAAAAAAAAAAAAAAAAAAAAAAAACTGTTTACAGACAGAAAACAAATATTTGAAAACCTGCCATTCACTGCTGTGTTAAAAACATGATTAACAATTAAAACACTGTGTTTGAAATGTACAATAAAGGACAAATAGTCGATAGTGTTGTAAATTGGAGAGAGGAAGTTGTCCTCATTTCCTACATTTGAGAATGTAGGAACGAAAGTGGAAATTCATAATTTCCTGAGTTAAGCTAGGAGAAAAGGTAGATTTGAAGTCCTGTTTGCCATACATTAGGAAGTCACAGAGGAAACCAGTCCTCCTGTGGAGTGTTAAGATAATTAAAAAACAGGAGATTAGACTGAAGTGGCTCTAGTAACCTGTGTTCATAAGTAAAAAACAAAAAACCTAACTCGATTTCTTATAAATTACTATTTTAGGCAGAAACAAAATTCAGGCTTAACCAATCATAAACCTGCAATTAACCTCTGATTACATAACCAGGAAATTTCCACCTGAATCATACAAATAAGATGACTACATAACTGTAACCACTTTTTGAATTTGGTTTGCCTTCTCACACACCCTTCATAAAACCCTTTCCTTTATGCCGCTCAGGTGGGCCACATATTATGGCTGGGTGATTTCCATTTCACCAATCACTGCTCAAATAAACTCGTTAACGTTTTAACATTGACTCCCTTTAATATTTAATAGAAGAGGCTGGGCGCGGTGACTCATGCTTGTAATCTTAGCACTTTGGGAGGCCATGGCGGGCGGATCACTTGAGGCTAGGAGTTCCAGACCAGTTTCCACCATGGTGAAACCACTTCTCTACTAGAAACCCAAAAATTTGCCAGGCGTGGTGGCGCAGGTCTGAATCCCTGCTTCTCGCGTGTGCTGAGGTACGGGAATCGCTTGAGCCTGGGAGGCGGAGGTCGCAGCGATCACCCCATTGCACTTCCAGCCTGGCTGACAGAGCAAGACTCCGTCTCAAACAAAATGTTTTAAAAAAGAGACTGGGAGTCTCACCTGCCGCAGCTCCTCCCACGCACACACGGAGTCAGGATTCTGCTCTGATGACCCGCCTGGCATCCCTGAACAATCCGGGAAATACTTGGGGCTGCGCGCAGAGCTGCCCAGGGAGCTCCAGACAGGGCGCCGCACAGTCGGGTCGGGGCGAGACGCCGGGGTTCCGGCTACGGGCCCAGCCGCCATCTTACAGCGAGAGGGACCTAGGGCGGAGCTGCGCCAGCGGGGACTCAGGTGTGCGACCCGGGAGCGGACTGTGGGGAGGCCGGTACCACAGCTCTCCCCTCTCGGGATGCCCAATCCCGCACACTCACCTTTTCCCATCTTCCAGGATGTCCTGGCATCTTAACTGTGCGTCTCCCAGAACCTGCAGATAACAGGGCAACAGAGATTGTGACAGTCACCGGGGGCTCCCGAGGTGGAGGATGAAGAACAGCAGAGACCGATCCCAAGCTTTGGCGCCAGCGAGTTACAAAAGCCCCAACGAATGCCGGAAGCCACGCCCTCCTCTCCAACTGGGCGGTTCCCGCGCCAGCGCCACTGATTGGATAAAGCACCAGCACTCTCTCCATACTACCCCCCTCCTCTCAGCATTAGCGCATTTTACGGATAGGAAAACAGGCTGAAGTAGGTACGGTAACGTGCACAGGGAATTACAGCTAATTAAGAAATGAGCTGAGACTTGGGATGCGCTTACTCTTTCCCTTACCTGGGTCTGCTTGTATAATGCATCTTAGTTACTACGTAAGGGTAAGAAAAGAACATTTGGACTGTGGTTTTGTTTTGTTTTGTTTGGTACGTAGTTTCACTTTTATTGCCCAGGCTGGAGTGCAATGGTGCGATCTTGGCTCACTGCAATCTCCAACTCCCGGGTTCAAGCGATTCTCCTGCCTTAGCCTCCCGAGCAACTGGGATTGCAGGCGCATGCTACCACGCCCTGCTACTTTTTGTATTTTTAATAGAGATCGGGTTTTGCCGTGTTGGCCAGATTGATCTCGAACGCCTGACCTCAGGTGATTTGTCCGCCTCAGCCTCCCAAAGTGCTGAGATTACAGACGTGAGCCACCGTGCCCGGTCCATTTGGACATTTCTTTAACAACTTTTTAATCAATTTGATAATGCAGGAAAGACCTTCATCCCATCCCTGAGCCCCTTTCTCACCATGCTGTACCACACTGCTGACCACATCGTGGGATGACCATTAGGAATGGGGTGGGGGTTGGGGACAGCCAAGGCTGAGAATGGTCAAGAAAGAATTATGTTACCCCAATTTGTTCATCTTAGAAAGGCTCCTCAATTATTCCGTGTGAAGTGGCTATTCCAGGGTAATTTTGCCCTGACTGCGCTGCATGTCAGTCTGACTTCTCTTTTTTAAAATCACTGGATTACTCTCACTAACGGGGGTATTTCATTTTCTATTTGAAAATGGCCAGCTGTCCTTTGTGGGTGTCCTGATTTGATTTGCTAGTTTAGACCCTGGTGGTAGGGGTGAGGAAATATTGAGACACATCAGAATATCTTATTCTCAGTTAGAGAATATATAGGAATTTCTTAACATCTAACAGTTTTCTCAATACCCATTATATTTAACAGTGATAGCTTACAGGGCAGGAAGGGGACACAGAGGACACAACCTTAGAAGTTAATTAGGTCATACAATTTTTTGTTTTGCTTTGTTTTTGGAGACAAGGTCTCACTTTAGTGCCCAGGCTGGAGTGCAGTGGCACAACCATAGCTCATAAGTTGGTTGTAACAGTTCTTTAAAAAATATTTTTGGCTGGGTCTGATGGCCAACACCTGTAATCCAAACACTTTGGAAGACCATGGTGGAATGATTGCTTAAGCCCAGGAGTTCAAGACTAGTCTGGGCAATGTAGTGAGATTCAGTCTCTAGAAAAATTTTAAAAATTGGCCTTCTATGGTGTTGCATGCCTATAGTCCAAGCTACTCGAGGGGCTGAGGTGGAAGGATCACTGGAGGTTGAGGCTGCAGTGACCTATCATTCGGCCACTACACTCCAGCCTGGGTGACAGAGTGAGACCTGTATGTGTACACATACACACATACATATATACACACACACACATATATATATACCCTATATATATAATCAAAATAATATATATGTTTAAAGAAATTTAAGCACAGAAGAAAAGTGAAAGACCATTGTGGGGAATGTGATAAAAGGTGAGTGTGGCTCCTACACAGTGAGATTTGTTTTTCCATCTTGAGGAACTGCCCTCCCACACTGAAATTACAACCCAGAACATGCCAATTCTCACAATGTTTATACTTTGCCCAAACACAGCCGAAGGAGGCCAACATCCTCGTTTGTGACATGGAAGTCTATTCTCCACTGAGACCTTTTAAACATGTTATTGTCAGCCGGGCGCAGTGGCTCATGCCTGTAATCCCAGCACTTTGGGAGGCCGAGGTGGGTGGATCACCTGAGGTCAGGAGTTTGAGACCAGCCTGACCCAAACAGAGAAACCCCATCTCTACTAAAAATACAAAATTAGCCAGGCTTGAGGGCACATGCCTATAATCCCAGCTACTTGGGAAGGCTGAGGCAGGAGAATCGCTTGAACCTGGGAGGTGGAGGCTGCAGTGAGCCGAGATTGCGCCATTGCGCTCCAGCCTGGGTAACGAGAGCGAAACTCCATCTCAAAAAAAAAAAAAAAAAAAGTTACTATCTTCCTGGGTGTGGTGGCTCACGCCTGTAATCCCAGCACTTTGGGAGGCCAAAGCAGGCAGATCACCTGAGGTCAGGAGATCAAGACCATCCTGGCTAACAAGGTGAAAACCCATCTCTACTAAAAATACCAAAAATTAGTTGGAGTGGTGGCACGTGCCTGTAATCCCAGCTACTCGGGAGGCTGAGGCGGGAGAATCGCTTGAACCTGGGAGGCGGAAGTTGCAGTGAGATCACACCATTGTACTACAGTCTGGGCAACAAGAGCAAAACTCCGCCTCAAAAAAAAAAAGTTATTGTCTTAAGCCCTATTCCTTCTAATAAAGTCTATAAAAATACACACATATTGGGAGGCCGAGATGGGCGGATCACGAGGTCAGGAGATCGAGACCATCCTGGCTAACACGGTGAAACCCCGTGTCTACTAAAAAAATACAAAAAATTAGGCGGGCACCTGTAGTCCCAGCTACTCCGGAGGCTGAGGCAGCGTAGCTAGGCGCGTAGCCAGGGGCGGAGCTTACCATGCGTGAGCTGAGATCAGCCTGCACTCAGCTGGGAGGCGTGTGATCTCGTCTCAAAAAAAAAAAAAAAACACACACATGAGTAGTCCCAGCTACTCCGGAGGCTGAGGCAGCGTAAAACCCGGGGGGCGGAGCTTGGAGTGAGCGGAGATCCGGCCACTGCACCCCAGCCGGGGCAAAAGGGGGGGTCCCCCGTAAAAAAAAAAAAAAAAAAAAAACACACATATAAGCCTGAAACTACTATAAATAAAATATCAGGTTTTTAAAATCCCATAAATAAACAAGCAAACACAAAAACAGTCACTTTGAGGAGACTGTGGGATGGAGGGGGTTAGGAGGCTGTCCACACCACCTCCAGGCCCCATGTGGAGGAGGGGATGGATTCTAGGAAGACCCTGGCTAGTCACTTGTTCTGACTGGGCTTTCCCCCGCTCCACACTTTGTTAACCATTTCCTGGGAAGAGCTTAGGAACCTCTTGTGCCCTAGTGAGGCAGGGCTTCCCCTCACAGGGTATTGGCGAGGAGGCATTCTGAGACTCTGTGGGAAGCTAGCACAGTGCTTGACAAGTACCTGTGGGAACTGTCATCCTCTGTAACTACTATGTGGCCTTGGAGTGTTCAGATGGCCTGGCCTGGGGCTTGGCGGAGCTGTTTGAGGGTCAACTGCTTTAGCTTCCACTTTCTCCTCAAAGTGGCTGTTTTTGTGTCTGCTTATTTATGTTTTTTAAAAACCTAATATATAAACACAAAGTGCAGCTGGAGATGCCAAGGCTCAGGGTCTAGAGCTGTGAGGCTTGGACTTGCTTGCTGGCCTGTGACCAGGTGAACTCTGGGTGTAAGGTGGTTCCCACCCTGGATCTACAATCCCCACCTCCTCTCCCAGGCTCTGAGTAACCAACACAAGGCAGTGCTAGAGAGAGGGTGAGTGACAGGCATCAAGCCCATCCAGGAAGATTTGAATGCCATCTGGGCTGGGGCTGTTGGGGGTAGGGACTATGACTGCCTTGGCTTGTCATTGCCCCACCCACAGATGTGCCTGCCCTGTGCTGCTTCACCAGTAGCCAGCTGTCCATGGCCCTAAGCCTGTCTTACCATGCCTGCTTCCTCATGCTGTTCATGTTTAAAAAAAAAAAAAAATCCTAGCCAGGCACAGCGACTCACACCCGTAATCCCAGCACTTTGGGAGGCTGAAGCGGGGGGATCACAAGGTCAGGAGATCAAGACCATCCTGGCCAACATGGTGAAACCCTGTCTCTACTAAAAACACAAAAATTAGCTGGGTGTGGTGGTGTACACCTGTAATTCCAGCTACTCGAGAGGCTGAGGCAGGAGAATCGCTTGAACCAGGGAGTCTGAGTCAGAGGTTGCAGTGAGCCGAGATCGTGCCACTGCACTCCAGCCTGGCAATAGAGCGAGACTGCGTCTCAAACAAAACAAAACAAAACAAAACAAAACCATCCTGAGATGGTGCTGCTGGATGTGAGTGCTGGAAAGGGGGAGGCACCTTTGTCCTAGGGAATTAGGAGCTGACCAGATACCTCCTGAATGCCCCGCAGAACAAGTTGGGGGTGGTGCTGCACTAAGTGATGCCCCACTGGAAGATGTATATGCATTGGTTCAATGAATATACAATGCAGAGGCCTAAATGAAGACATGTGAATGGTGAATTTGGACATCAGTTTGCAGCTGGGAAACAGGTGCCTCTCATTCTCCCCAGTAAGTGTGGAATGTGTCCATGCCCATGAGTGTATAGATCTGTCCTTCTTAACTTGTACACGACTCTAGGTCAGTTCTGAGTGAATGACGTGCAGATGAGATTTCTCGTCATAAGTAAGTTTGACATTGTGGCTGCTGCTTTTGCTGCCACCATCCCCAAGACCAACCTGGCTTAAAGTCCAGGCTTTAGGTCAAAACAATGGAGGGCTTCCTGTGCTCTGGGATGGGAAGTTGGAGATCTGTGGTAGGGCTGGGAGTTGGGGTACACTTTAGTTGTGTGCAGAATGAGAGCTGCAGTGGTTTTATGAATCGTGATTAGCCTGACCTGGTTTAGCTCTCAGTGGGGGAAGGAATCGGCAGTGGTGGTTCCCCAGATATCCATGTAACCAGCCGTGGCCTTCCTGCCCTCAGACCCAGCAAAAAATACCACCACAGACTCTGACTTGCCTCCCTACTCCCTGCACCCTAGATGGGAATACCTTGGAGGCTACAATCTGAATGTATTATTCTCCCCATTTTAACTGTACCTGCCTAACACAGTGAGGGAGTGAGTATGGGCGGGATGAAGGACCTGAGGAGAAACCAGAGTGGAATCATAAATCCTTGGGAAAAGTTAAAGATACAGGAGTGGGCTGGGCTCAGTGGCTCATGCCTGTAATCCC